ACTTTTGATTTTCTTCCCTTCGCTGGTTCTGATTACTCGGTATATACACGGGACAAAACAAAACACGCACGTTTCCAAAAAGCACCGAAACGGAAACAAAACAACAAACTCCGTAAAACCCCCCAATTCCGTAAATTTCCCAAAAAAACCTTAATAACCCTAAAACTTTCCCTACTCCTTTATATAACACACCCCCACAACCTTCGCCTCTCGGCTCCAACAACAAACAAACAAACGCATTCTTCTTTCTCCGATTTCTCTCTGTGTTGAATCGTTTGTGAATGGTGGAAACTAATCCGATCGGTGGTAATTTTATGCTCTCCCTTCCCATCAAAAGGGCGAGCTTCTTCCTCCCTCTCTCTTCTTCCTCTGTTTTCGCTTTCGGTTCTTGCAAAGAAGGCTGGTACTTTCGCTGCCTCGGCCTCGACCCGTGAACCAATTTCTCCCACGACCCGGATCCGACCCACATAAAAAGTCTCTTCCTTTTTTTCCGATCTGTCTGTTTTTAATCTCTCTCTGTTTCGAAGATGTTGCTTTACAACAAGCAGAAGAAGAACCAGAACGCTAAAGGGAACAGGATTCTTATTAGCGTTACGGTTCTTGGTAGTGCCGGTCCGATCCGGATCGTTGCGTACGAGGAAGATCTCGTTGCTTCTGTTATCGACACTGCTCTTAAAAATTACGCTCGTGAAGGTCGTCTTCCTCTTCTCGGATCTGATTTCAATGATTTTCTCCTCTATTGTCCCATGGTTGGACCTGAAGGTAATTAAACGAAATCGATTTCACTTTTTGAGATTCGAAATTGAGAATTGGTTTACTGAATTTGGTTTTTTTTTAATTGGTACACAGCTTTAAGCAATTGGAACGCAATTGGATCGCTTGGTGCAAGGAATTTTACTCTGTGTAGGAAACCAGAGAAGAAGAATGTGGAAGAAGGTAATGGAAGATCTAATTCCAACATTAATGGTGGAGGAAGAAAAGGAGGTAGCTTGAAAGCTTGGATCAACAAGTCTTTCAGTCTCAAAGTCCAAAGCCATTAAACATTATTTTTACTTTTTCTTCTTCTTTTTTTTAATTCCCTAAAACAAACAAGAACCAA